ATATACATATATATTTTTTTTTAGAAAATTATATCAATTTCTAAAGAGATTTCAAAACTATTAAAGTGTAGGTGAAAGTAAGCTATATTGATATTTCATACCAAAGTAAAATGTTTAAGGCTATTAGTAAAACAGTTTTGAGTTATATATAAAGAAAGACAAAATTATCTAAGATATTGAAATGTACTATCAAAGTATAATTTTTATCCATTATTGTTTCCAATAGTCTTTCTTTGATGTGTGAACTTTGTGATCTGAAGTCAGTCTTAGTCTTGTAAGTGGACAAAAGCTACCTTACCACAAAACAATTTCAAATTGGTTATGAATTTTCTCCCATAGTTTTTTTAAATATACATTGTTTTAGCTTTTTGTCCTATAATCTTATATTCAGTGTGTGTATATGTGTACTGCATGGCTGATGAAACTTATTTGTACAGATTTTAAATAAATCCATATATTTTTATGTGTTATTTTATGATGAATGTATACCTAGTATATGTATGATTATACATTTAACATGCAAAACTAAAACAATGTTTGGTGTTATTGCATTCCAAGAATTTTAGGTATTAATATGTATGGTTGTTTTAGTTTCTGGTTATTTGTACAAACACACCGTGTTTTCTTTTATTGTTGATTTTGTATCTACAATATTCCTATGAATTAGTATGTTGAAAATATTACTTCACATTTTACTGTAGAGTCAAGTACAGCCATTGTAATTTAGATGAGGTTGTAACATGGATAACAAGCCACTGATTATGGCATTTATATAAGAGAAAGGAGATAAAGGTCAGTTTTGAGTGGACTGTAACAAACAGGTAAATTATTATGTTAAAACTAAAAAACTTAGGACTTAGTTTTTGTACCATTATTGGATTGCTTCTATAACCCCAGCTATTGATGGTTTGATTTTGTTTTTCTAATGAAGGAATGATTGTGTAGAGATATTTCATGATCCCTTCTGAAGCTCACAGGAAAAAAACATAAATACTAATGGAGAATCTGCATTAATAGCATAGCAGGACATTAACAAATGTATAATGCAGCAGATCTGTTGTTTCCTTAGTCTCCTTATACTGGAATATTTTGTTGTTATTCGTCATTTGAAGTGAAAGAAATGAGTTTTTGATGTGTTAGTGGGACACGAAAAATAGGTTTCACTTGTATAGTTCACAGGGTGAATTTAATGATATAGTCCATTTTATTGCATTTGTCATATTCCTAGTCCATATCCACAAATGAAGGTTTCAGTTACTGCTATAGTTGATGCTTTCCACACACACATACGTATATATCCTTAATCATTGATCATCAGAATATTACCCATATCAGTGCTTATTTATGTACATATTTATAGAGAATGGTATAACACCTGTATGTGTGTGTGATTGTGGTTATTGTTCAATGTTGGATTACTAAACACTTTGGGGTCATTGTTTAGTAACCTAACATTTTAAATAGATGGTGTATATATATGCTAGAACATATAGTCTCGTTGTTCATTAATTTGCCTTCTTGTATAGCAAGTTAGAATATTTCAGGTTCCTCCCATTTTCACTAAATTTATTTTATATTTTTTATGTGTGGTACAAATAAATTGAAGAGAATTGAAATGGTCAGGCAATTTAATAAAACTTTGAGAAATTGTGTGTGTGTGTGTAATATGTATGTATATATATATATTTGGAAGTTTGGCTTTCCACCAATAAATTCACATTAGTTATTTGAGATGTTTATCTTAAACTTAGACGTTGTTTCAGGTTGAAACAACAACAACTCTTATTTATGAAGAATATTATATAAATAGCCTAGGTACAAGTACTTGAAATACAGAAGCTCATTATAGTGTTATATTGCTTTTGACTTTCAAAATGATTACTTTATTCATAAATCAACACAAAAAATGGTAACAGCTTACCACACCACTGCTGCCTTCAAACTTGATTACATTACCTTTATGCATACAGATATAAATGACCTATAACAAGAGTATCATTTTCTTTCAACCTTAATACTAATACATGTTCATAAATAAACATAGTAGACTGTTAAGAGAGTAGCACTGCCTTTCTTTTGCTTTTCTAACTGGTTACATTACATGTCCATAAACATATACAGTAGAATGTTAAAAGAATACTATGTTCTTTAGCCAGTTAGAAAATATTATATAAACAAGTACAACTGGTAAACTAACAGCCTATTTATTGCTTTGTCATTGGCTACATTAACTATTTGATAAAGAGATACAATAGATTATTTACCAAGACCACCTCTGTTTTATCTTTCTAGTTAGTTACAGTATCAGTCTTTAAACAGATACAGTATATCACTAAAAAAGTACAGCACCTCCTACTTCTGCTCCTCGTTGGTTGAATTACCACCCATAAACAAATACAGCTTCTGATACAGTACTTCCCTCCACTCACAAGATTAGCTATTCTCGTCCAGTGCTGACTTCTATATGCAAACTTTTTTCTTTATCCATGCCACAAGCCTTCTGCTCCCCCTTCCTCCCCATTGGAATAAAATGATTACAACAAGTCTATCATGCAAATCATCATGCATCACTTCTCCACCAATAGGAGCGTGACACATGTGAATCCCTCTATTCGCCTCTACCAAACTATCACTTCTCATTTGGCAGCACTTGCACTTGGATGCGTTCCTTTGTTTGTTTCAAGTTTAACGTTCAACTTTTGTATACTCGCTAAGTGGTTTTTCATTTAAATTACTTCCACATTTATTAAGACTGTTTCTATAAATTAATCCCAGTTTATTACAGTCGCATTATTATTAATAATTTCGATTTTGGTTGACTTTTCTTGATTATGAATTCTAAAATTCATGTTACCACTTTGGGGGTCACACATGTGACTAGCGCTATGTCACAGACCTCAGGTGCAGGTGCCTGGGAGTGAGATTTATAAGCATTTATTCCCAGGGAGATTGAACATTACATAGGTCAACGTCTATCTCTGGACTTTGCCCCACTTCCTCTCAAACATGCTGAGCCTGTTTGGACTGACGAGAACTTGGATCACTTATATCCACGTTCTGATTTTGCTGTGCCCTCCCAGGCCCCTCCTGAGGAGTCAGTTAGGCTTACTATAGCCTTTTTTGGATTTCGTTTCTCATGTATGTGATGTTTTATTTCTTGCCCTTATTTCCTGTGAACCATGTCCTTTCTTACTACATGACCAATCTTCACATCCCTATTTGGTTTTCCCCCTCCCCAGATATTTGGGTACTTGCTGACCAATTTGCCTCACAATTAAGTGACAGGATAAACATGCCTTGCCCCCCACTGGCTTCAGATCAGTTTGCTCTTGCATAATTTGTAGACTGTCCTTTATCTAGACCAACAATTGTAAGATTCTATTTTACCTGTATGGGTGGTAGTCCACAAATCTCCTGTAAGTCTGACCCATGCCCAATTTTCCCGCCTTTGTCTTACCATCACAACCCTTTTATGGTATCTCCTTACCGTCCATCTCCTCTCCACCAAAATTCTGAAGGGTTTTCTGGTGACATCCTCTCCCTTCTTTCCTCCATACTGGCTCATTTGTCGTCTTTGGCTCCGACTTTGCATACATGGTTTCTTTGTTGTTGGGACCTTCTAGGTCATGATGCTTCCTTAACTCGCATCCATTTACCAGAATCTTATTTTTGGGATTTATGTATGGGTCCATTTTTGAGGCATTATGTATTTGACACGATCACTGAGCCCTTGAAGTCACGAGTAGCATCAGTACGACAACAGTCTACTCTTTCCAATCTTGTTGTCCCTTTGTCTCAGTTGGAGCTCAAGATCTCACCTGTTACAGTTTCCAATCCTTCTCCTTCTCAACCCTTACCTGTCTCTTCTTCTCGAGGTGCCTCGTCTCATCATTTTCTTAGACGACGCACATCATATTTCTAATTGTATCAGTGACTACCC